TCTCGGGCTTCAGAAGCATGGAATTGCCAGCAAACTTTGTTTAGAGGTGGGGCTTGGGCAATCTCTCCTGCGGGACTGCATGTGACAGGTGTCCCACCGTGGCCTGTTTGCCCCGTCTGCAGAAGTCTATTCTGAGCCCTGTCAAGGGCAGGTGCTGGCCTGGGCAGGGGCTCTCCTACTGTGTCCCGTCTGCTCCCCTCAGGGGCTGTTATTGATAGCACTCACGACCTTTGGCTCCAGAATGTTCCAGCTAAGCCCTGCCAACCACTGCAAAGAAAGGCACAGGGAGCAAGAAGAAGCAGATGGTACCCAGGAGAGTCAAGTGAGGCTGACAGAGCCAGGCAGGCAGAGGAGAAATCTGTGACTAGATCAAGGCAGTGTCTTCTGATATCTGGCCAACAGCACAAGAGGCAGCATGTTGAGGGAACAGAATGAAAACTTCCAGAGCAGCTAAGGACGAGTTGGGGGTGGGGCATGGGTGGCTGTGGCAGGGATCTAGGACACACGTCACCTCTTTCCCCGAGGGCATGGTTTTCTTGGCTTGTTTTCAACGTGTTTCAGAGTTGGGACAGGCACAGATTGGTTTGGGACAGCCAGGGCAGTCCCCGGACAAGCTCTGAGTTTACTGCTGGACCCCGCTGTCATTTCTACCAGCATGTGCGAGTGAGCATGGAAGATGGTTTCAGTGACCAGGCCCAGCTTAGGACTGGAAGAAAGGGGCCCAGACTTGAACCTGGAGGCATCTACCGTAGTGTTCGTCTCGTGACTTGAGGAAAGTTGCTAATGCTAGGTGAAGCTGACTTCCTATTGGCTGCCCGTGCTGGGTTTTCTAAAGCAGGGTGCCCTGAAGGTCTCAGCTGTTCACAGGTGTTTGGGACTTCTCTTTAGGGGGGTCATTTGAGCACCCAAGGGGGCCAATCACTGTAGGCCCTTTACCAGCCATGGTCTTTCCCAGGATTCCCTGTGCATCCCCCACCACGCTGGCAGTTTTGCAGCACTCTTGGATGAGCCTGACACTCGACAAATTTATATCCCATGGCCCCTGCCAACCAAATCTGGCAGTGTTGTTTTAATACCCTTTGAGTTTGGCAAAGAAAATGCTACACTCTGAGCTAAATAAATGCTAGCTGGCCATCCCTGGAATACCTCATCTGACATGGGGCAGGAGGGCTTAAGAGCCATGGAATTTGCCCACTTTCACTTCCATTTAAGACCAGATGTCCTTTCTCTACACCAGCACATGGATGCCCTCTTGTCCCTTCCTAAGACAGGTATAGAGAACATTCTGCTGAGGCTCAGAAGCATCGAGGCTGGGGCTGGAGCTGAGGCACAGAATACACAGGGGAGAAAGGAACATGCATGCTTTCCATCAGGCCACACAAACGGAGAGGGAGTCTAGAGCCACATGAAGATGAGGGGCGCGACCATCCACAGCTGCCCCAAAAGAAAGCAGCAGCCGGGCAGTGGGAGAGGGCGAAGCTGGGGGAAAATGACGAAATCTGGTGCCTTTTAAAAAATCTCATAAAATGTCTTCTCTGAGAATCAGCTTCATATTGATTCAAGGTCTGAGGCGGGTAGCGTGAGGTGTCCGTCACATGGTCAGAAGAGCCACATGGTGGCCAGACAGGGACTGCCTTCTCTTAGCCCTACTGTGGGTCAGGGTTATTGTGAGATGAAGGGAACGATCCAGTTACGGGGTGATCCTGGGCCTGAGGGCCCTGGGGTCTTTGAACCATAGGAAATATATGGCACATGTAGCCAGGAGAGATGGGCCTGTCCATCCTTGCAGCATCCCTGGTCTCCAGCTGGTGGGGACAAGTCTGGTCCTGAAGAGTAGGTGGCGGCTCCCATGACAGAGTTTAGGACTGTGTTCGAGATGTGAGAAGCTCTGTGCTCAGTAAGGGCAGATGGAATTGGATCTTCTAAGCTTCCCTCCCTCACCTTGGCCTTAGGAGCACGAAGTTTCCACTGGGAAACCACGGGCTGTGACAATGACATCACCCCCAAAGTCATCTGAGAAGGTTCCCCTTCACACAGAGGCTGAGGGAGAGGCAGACCTCCCAGGCTTGGAGAAATGATGCCATCAAAATCACCCCACATCACTAGGATGACGTGCCCCTATTTCTTAGAATGAAAAGAAGAGCCACCGTTGTATGTGGTTGGAGGGATGAAATAAGGAGAGAAATAAGGAAAGAAATGGGGGGTTGTTTTTATTTACAGTTCCTGGTGCCAACAGGTGTGTCTCCTACCAGCACTAAATTTTTATTGAGTATTTATTTCGTGGGAAATAAATACATTCCGAGATTTCAGGTCCACTGCATTTGGAACAGAATAGGCTAGACTTGGTGGAACAGAAGACTAGGCTAGACTTTGTTGGCCCCTGAAAGGGTGGTTTTCAGAGTCCAGGCACATGGTATACTATAGCCAGATTTCTAAGGCCTCATTGGGCACAGTGGGGTCACAGCCCTGACACGCATGTGCAGTACCACAATGACACTCAGCCCATCTCTGCAGGAGAAAGACACAGAGGGAGAGAGAAAACTGGGGGGAGGTACTGGTGCCTGGGGAAAGTGGGGAGAAGGTTTCTCGGTGGAAGGAACTGTTAGAAAGTAAAGATGATGTGGTGACAGGAAAAGTCTGATCTGGCCACACTATCTGCATCCTTGCTCCCTTGTTCCTTCCTTGTTTCCCATTGCTTTGCTTTACATTCTTCCTCTCCTTCCTCTCTGGTCTTCCTCCACTGCTGCCCATGGATGCACCTGCATTGGGAAGGGGGGTGCGTGGCAGCAGGACAGGGGATTCGGGAGAAGGGGTAGAGATTCCACAGAAGAGAGAACTCAGTCCAAAGAAGGCTGGAGGAAAAAGGCCAGAGAAATGCTTGGGGCTGCCTAGCTCACCCCCTGAACTAAGTCCTCCTGGCTCGAGAAGCTGTCTTCCAACTTCAAATGATCCGGGTCAACACTTGCAGTTTCTCTTAAGCTTCATGTAAACACAAAACACACATGTGTGTGCTACCTGTAGTAAGTAAGCAGTGGTGAATCAAAGCCTCTGACAGAGAAGCAAAGAGGAAATAGAAATTCATCTAGGAACAGACAAACAAGCCGGAGTGGCAGAGGTCCCAGGGGTTGCACGAGGGAGAGTTTCAAGGGAGCTATTTTGAGGCACCCAGAGTCCTGATGTGGGGTAGACAAGAGCTGGAACCCCATCTAGCCAAGGGGCTTCTCCCTCCCCCCAAACAGCCTCACCTTCCCTGTGTTCTCAGCAGAGTACGGAGCGGCTCCCAAGCCTGGGAAGCCCAGGAGTATCAGGGGATGCCGGAGGGGCCCACCCCTGTTCCGCCCTGCAGCCTGGCGCAGCCTTGCCAAGCAGAGGTGGCCGCTGGTCTTATGGCCCCGTGTGCTCTGCTCGGCCCTTTCTGGAGAGAGGGTGCTGTGGTAGGGAAGGGTGGGTTGCACCAGAGATGAAGCGGGTCTGAAAGTGCATTTAGAAAGCGCTAGATAAACAATGCAGGCCATGGGAAGAAGAAGCCTCTTTGAATAATAATTTAAAAAAAAAAAACCTCCACAAACATTTAAAAAAAAAGAACTCCTCATTTTTGAACTTTTTTAAGAACAGTTCAATGTGAGGTTTTTGCACCCTTAACATTTTTATCTGGAATTTTTTTTTAATTGTACTACACACAACAAAGACTAACAGTATTTACTTAAAATATTGTGTGTGTGTATATATATACACATATGTATATGTATGTATATATATCTTTTTGTGGAGATATTTTTCTTTTTGTGATTTTTTTTCTTTTCCTTTTTTTTTTTTTTTGTGCCCAAGTAGATATACGATATTATTGAAACAATGTCCCCAAACAGAAAAAGTCCTTAGAGAAACAATACTCTGAAAAACAAAAATTTCACAAATGGTCAACCATACTCACAACACCTCCCAGAAATTCAACTGGATACAATGAGAAAATAAACAGGTGACTCGAACCCTCACCCAAACCATGTGGGCTGGAAGACCCAGCTGTGCTACTGGTAGGGACGCGTCCTCCAGGGGGACCCCTGTGCAAACACAGTTGTCCCCCCTCCTCCCCACCCAACCCCTCCCGCTCCCCGCTACCAGCCATCACAGCCTAAGAGTAGTTTTGTGTATTTCTGGCAAGACCTTGCAGCAGGGACACACACACACACACACACACACACACAAACACGTTCTATGGATGGGCACACACATACACACACACACACACACACACACACACACACACACACACACACACAACCCAGATGCACCAAGGGAGCTGAATGAGTCTCAGCCAACCACAATGACAGAAGCACCAAACAGTCTTTGAAATGAGTTAGTTATTACAACTTGACTTTTTATATATGTATATATATATATATTCTAGCTTTCCTCTTTGTGTTATTTTTTAATTAAAAAAAAGCACAAATGAAAGATGAAGATTCTTTCCAGATCAGTTTAAGGCTTCCCACAGAATGGAAACAGAACCATCCTTCCACAGGCCTGCACGTGTCCCACACATACCATTCGCAGCCTTAAAATGATGGAAGAGATCGTTGCCAGTCACAGATTAAGTATTGTGCCTTTAAATAGATGTCTTTCTTTTTGCTACTATGCTGAGTTTTATTATTACTGGTTCTCTTTGATGGCATATATGGGAATCTCCTTTGATTTGCTTTTAGAATTTACCAAATTAGGAGGGTACCTTTTTGTTTGTATTCTGTCTCGCCTTTCGAGAGGAATCAAAAGCGATTCTTGCTAGGTAAATGCTAAAATGGCACATAGTCAGCCTTCAAGTAGCTTTGCTAGCCATTTGAGATCCAAACAGCCCTTCAGCTCCTAGAAGGCTCTGTGGAGTGGGGAAGGACAGGAGAGGAGGAGAGAAATCCAATGGAGGAGGGGTTGCTATGCCTTTGCTTTTAGTAATTGGTTTTCTTCGACACAAATAATCAGATAGGAAGAATGATTGCTTTGTATTGTCTCTGTTGGTTGGTTTGATTTTTGTTTCCTTGGTGGATTTGTTTCATTTGATTATTTAATTTTATCTCTTCTGGTACAAATGTCACCAGAGAGGTTTGCATGAGAAAATATGACAGTACTTAATGAAACTCAGCACCTAAGGGCATAAGGCAGTTGAAGGTTTTGTTTGTTTGTGTTTGTTTGTTTGTTTTGTTTTGTTTTGTTTTGTTCTTTCAATCAGCACCAATCCCATAAATAATCTACACTTGGTGTAAGGTATAAAATTGTGTTGTTTTTTCTGATGGAGAGGAGACAATGCCTTCTCCACCTATGATTCATAGTGTGGGATTTTTTTTTTAATACTGTTTCTTGTGTGTAAAAAACAAAAGGAAGATTTTCTTTTTGTTTTTACTTATAAAACATAGAGAATATCTTTGTATACATACAGCGACTGGAAAGAAAGCTTATCTGAAGGGGATGTGACTTATTGATTTGTTCTTAGTGTTGGTGTTGCTGTTGGTGTTGGTGTGGCGGTGGTAGTGGTGGGGAGGTGGTGGTGGTGGTTCTGTGTGTTGGGAGAGGGAGGGTTAGATTTCTTGCGAGCGGCATTCGCCGCAACCAAACTTAAGGTCTCCGTCTCAACCCGGGTCAAGAGGCTCTAGAGTGAAGATTCGTACTGCAGCAACTCATAGAGGAGCGGTCCATCTCGGTAGCGAATGCCCACCGCCGTGGGGGTGACATACTGCAGGATGTTAATCGTCCTCCTCAGCCTCCTGTCTACAAAGTGGGCATCCCAGGCTGGGTACCGTTTCCTTGGCATGTCAATCTTAATGAGGGGCCCCTCGGGGGGGTGAGGGCGCCCCGTCGGGGTCGAGGGCCCCGTGGGTCTCACTTGGAACACGGGCAAGCAAGTATCGGCCATGAGGTCCTCCTGTTGTCCCGGCACGGCTCTGGTGGGCGTGACCTGGGTCCCCCGGTACCCAGGGGCTTGAGGTGCCATGGGCTCAACGTCGGGGGGCAAAGGGATGCCCCAGAGCAGCTCGGCACAACAGGAGCTGGCAAAGATCTTAGCCCGCGGCCCCATGGGGTGCAGCACACCATAGTATAAGAGCATCAGCACAATCCCAGCCACAAAGCTAACAAAGACACAACACAGTGCGGGCACCGCATAGGAGTCAGTGCTCTCCGGGTTTCTGTAAAAATACCAAAGGAATGTCAAGGCCGCGTTCTCGGTCAACACTATCGTATAGTATGCAAACATTCGGTATCGAGTCCGCCCTTCCTTGACGTTAAACCAGCAGAAAATGTACACGATCCCTACCACCATGTTGAAGAGGATCTCCTCCCACTTGGACATGCAGAAGTCCGTCCCGCCATGGATGATCCAGAAAGCCATGGCGCACCAGTGCACCACCACGAAGATCCCGAAGTACAGCTGGAAGATGGAAGCAAAGAGGGCAAAAGAGATAACCCGGGATGAGATGGTGAAGAGGCGCCAGAAGAGGTGGATGAGGGCCCCTCGGTAGCTCATGCTCTTCTTATCGTCCCTCGAGTCCCGCAGCAGCTTGTGATAGGACGCTAGCACCCAAGCCAGGGACATCAGAGAGGTCACAGAGGAGACACCTGCCGGAAAGACACAAACCCACACGGTCAAAACCTCGGACGTCAGCTGCGAGGGACAACGGTGGGGGGGGGCTGCCAGCTGAGGAGATGCCCACACACACACTGCCATCTAAACAAGGAGGGAGAAAGAAACACAGTATCAGGAAGCAGACAGAGCCCCAACCGCTCCCTACACTGACAGCTTTGGGGTGTCTCAGGTGGGCGGGTGGGGGGTGCAGAGCTCCGTGGCTCAGGAGTGAAGTGGAGCCCCTGGGTCTGGCTTTGAGGGTTAGGGTGACATCTGGGAGGGGCTGTGCTCTACCTCGGGGGGCCTCTGTTGCATGCAAACATTGGGCCTGCATGGGTGCCCCTTCCTCCAGCAGCCTCGCCCAAGATCCTCCCTCAACCATTGTCCTCTGCGCCACTCTCTGCCACTCTCCTGCCTTCTCTCACTTGATGTGGGGTCTCCCAAACCCTTCCCTAAACTTTCGGTCGGCTTCTTCCTCATCCACCACAGAAGGCGGTCTTGGGGTGTCCGGCCCATCCAACCAGCCACCTCTGTCTGTCACACCTGCTTGCCTTGAAACCCTGCACAAACCCCAGTTGCTTTCTCCGAGAATATCTGCTCCCTGTTCCCAGGCCCGCCCTTGCTTCCTCTGGCTGCCCTCTGAGTCCAGCCTCTGTGCAGCACCTGCTGGGAGACAGAGAGGCAGAGTTCCAGGGACTTCAGCCCAGCTGTCATCGAAACCCCGCCCAGCAGCTTTGCTTCTGACTCCGCCCACCCAGTAGGGGACTTGTAACCAGGCTCATCTTCCCTGAATCTTCCACTGCAGCCAGGAACAGCACCACAGGCCGAGCATAGCGGTCAGGAGATCCCCCACCGCCGCCATCCTTAGCTCCTCCCGTGTAGCACCATCCAGGCCTCCAAGCGCCTCTTTGGTTGGTCCTTTTGCCTAAGATTCAGAACTGAGCACAGTGCAGATGGAACGTCTTCCACGGGCTATCTTCCTACCGGGCTATCCACCTTCCCAGGAACACTAGTTCTCTGCGCCATTCTTCTTTATTTCTCTCTCTCTGAAGCACAGAGTTTGGACCCGGGAGCCTTACACATCCCAGACACTATCCCAGCTCATCTCCTGCCAAACTTGCCCTGCAGCTCCTGTCCCATTCCGTACCATGATCCAAACATCCCAGAAGAGTCAGGGTCTCCCCTGCCCCCACAGCCCCAGCATTCCCCTCCTGCCATATCTTAGAAGGCCCCTTCTTCTTCTGCCCTCATCTTAAGTCCAAGCTTAGAACAATCTGGTGTGATAACAAGCCAGCATGTTGGCATATGCACAGAAAATACCTGGATGGTTGGCCAGCATAATGAGGATAGGTTACTCCCTATTTTGTCGGTCCTGGGACTAGACATTATCCCTGAGCCTCTTTGTGCTCAAGGCTCTACCACTTGAGCCACAGCGCCACTTCTGGCTTTTATTTTTTTTAGTAGTTTATTGAAGATAAAAGTCTCATGGGCTTTCCTGCCCAGGCTGGTGTCAAACTGAACTGTGATCCTCAGATCTCAGCCTCCTGAGTAGCTTGCAGTACAGGCCTGAGCCACCGGCGGCTCCTACGGCTCCTACTCTATTACTCTTGTAATAACAAACAGGAGAGACGAGACTTGCGACCACAATTTCTCCATGGAAACCAAACAGAAACTCTCTCCTGGGTAGTCAGGGCGGGGCGGGCTTTGTCCCACCTCGCCGGCCACCCTCACCGGGCACTGAGCCTTGGTCTCGCGAGTTGCACCTGCCTGCTGCATGGGCATGGAGTGCAGCCGCTTTGGCTCCTGGGTTGACGCAGGCAGAGGTTTCTGGAGAACCTGAGGTCCCACCTCAGCAGCCGGAACCTGGCTTCTCCTCAGCTCTGGGACAGTCCCAGGAAGTTGCTTTCATATATTCTGTGTCCCCACTGCCACTGCTGGCCAGGTGAACTTGTTGGGGTTTTTTGGTGGTGGGACTGGGGATAGAACCTGGGGCCTCACACATGCTAGACAAGCGCTCCATAGACACCCACTGAATACTCTGGATCTACTGGCGACATCAGCCACACTGTGTGGACCAAGTGTCTACAGCCTGAGCAGCACACAGGATGGAGAGGCACCTCTTCAGTGGTGCTGGGAGGCCTCAGGAAGACAGCTGAGGGAAAGCTCAGTGGGGCAGGGACAAGACACAGGCACAGGGAAAGACTCCCAGGGAGCGCACAGAGATAAGGCAAAGGGAATGACTGTGGCACTCTGAGATGGTGGTATTGGTACTCTACTTAATATTATTTTGTTTATTTATTTATGTCGGTCGTGGGGCTTGAACTCTGGGCCTGGGTGTTGTCCCTCCGCTCTTCAGCTCAAGGCGAGCGCTCTACTGCTTGAGCCACAGTGCTACTTCCCTTAGTATCATTTTTAAGTATAGAAATTTAAGAATTTTTCCCCAGAGCATGCACCTGCCAAGAGACAGAAACAAGATTTTATGCTGCATGTGGTCACCGGGCTAATGGTCCCCAGATGCTTTGTAAGGGACTGAGCCGCCGGGAGGAGACAGGGATACAAAAGGTTTGGATCTCACAGGGATGAATAGGAAAGGAATCCGCAAGAGGCCCTGAATTCTTGGGCCAAAAACCCAACCTGAATTCTACTTAGCTTCCTCAGAGAGTGGGATTCAGGCCACAGAGAAAGTGGGGACGAGGACCAGAAGTTGGGGCTCCTCCCTGGGGGAGGCAGTCCATCTTCCAACGCTGCCCTCTACCTCCAACCCCTGGGAAGATGACTGTGTGGTCTGAGGCCAATCAAGAGCCTGATGCCTTCTCCCAGGCAAGACCCCAGCTGCCAAGATGGCTGCAGAAGTCCCGGAACCTGCCTGGCGGGGCCTGGGAGCATCCACGGTCCACATTCAGCTCTGTCTGTGTTCCAACAGCCAGGCTGCATGGTGTCAAATGCCTTGTGCCCTGCCATGACACATTCTGGGCAGTGACCCTTGCATCCTATAAGATTCAACAAACTACACTTGTCTGCTTCTCCCATCTGGAGAGGTAAGCGTTTGCAGGAGCATTCCTGAGTGGTGGTGGACAGCTTGAAGGGGCCTATCGGGTATGGTGCTGACATAATGGGAAGCCATGAGCCACTTTCTGTCTAGCTCTGCTCCTAAAGAAACAGCCACTGGGGGCTGGGAAGGTGGCTCAGTGGTAAAGCGCTAGCCTTGAGCTGAAGAGCTGAGGGACAGCGACTAGGCCCAGAGTTCAGGACCCATGACCAGACTCCCCCCCCCCCCAAAAAGAAAAGAAACAGCCACTGCCCAGTCCTATACACAGGATCCTAACTGCATTCCTGTTCCTCCAGTAGCCACCAGCACAGCAGGGGTGGTGGGAAATGTCGCCAGACTCATCCCAGCAGCCTGCAGGGTCCCAGAAAGCCACTTCAGGATCTTGGTGGACCCCAAAGAGGGGTTAGCCCTTGACAGAAGAGCCTCAAGGCCAAGTTCAGCATTTAAAGGACTCAGCAGAAGGAAAGTTAGCTCCAGCTTCCCGTCCTTGTCTCTCCTTTCTAAGATGCTGCCAGAGATAGCAAAATGCCATCTTCCCAGCCAGCTGGATAAAGGCAAGCCCTAGAGATTCTAGAACAAATGTCAGCCAGTCCACTGCCACAGCACAAAGCAGGTGGGTGCCTGGTCCTGGCAGGCCAGCACCAACCCCGCGAGCCCAGGAGATCCATCTTTGCTGAGGAGCAACCACAGCCCGGCTCAGTTCCATTGCTCCCAGAAACACTGGCATCAGAGCAGCAGCAGGAAGACACCTGCAAGGAAGAGGGCGCTGCCATGAGTAGGCCTGGCTGTGTGGTTTTCTGCAGGGGAGTTGCCAAGCCTCGTTTTACCATTTTTAAACCAGGGGATAGAAATACAGACTTGAGCATGTTACGAATTATGAATGTAAGCCATGTTGTTACATCTTAGCTGGTACTCTGTATACATATGATTTATCTATGTATGCATGCTCTATATAAAATGTGTGCATGGATAGAGTGTATCTAATATAGAGTATAAACATGCACTCTACACATGTGCAGTATATTATTCAAATATCCATTTGTGTGTTAACAGATGTTCCACTGAAATGGGGGACACCAGAGGGTACAGACACCTCCACACAGCCAGCCTGGCACAGGGAGCTGCCTCCCCAGCTGAGCAAAAGCCAGGGTGACGGTCTCCTTTCCCCCTGGCATCTCAGATACAGGAGATGGCCTTTGCTCAAGGCCTCTGCCCTTCACTTCCGTCTTCCTGCAACATTTCCATCCAGATGTGTACCAGGAGAGGGGTGGCACGGGTCAGGGGTCACTAGCACAGAACTCTCAACTTTTTTCTCTGGGTGAGCTCCTACTCACCTACCAAGGTCCCTTTCTGTTGTACCCACAAAACAGTTGCCCATCCTCTGTGCCCCCAAAGCACCTGTACGTGTGTCTATCACAAAATCAAAAACACAGAGCCCTTGACTCTGAACTCTTGAGGGCAGGTGTCTTTGTGAAGACCCACCATGCTGAGTCTTTTGCTTCCTGGAACCAATGAGGCTTTTCCTACCGCAGGGCCTGTGAGCAGGTTATTTATTCCCATTGTTTGAAAGATAGATTCTGTACCCCCTTCCTCATCTACTATACTCAGCTCAAATGGCAGCTTTCTGGAGGCTTTCTCTGACCTCTGCTCAAAGTGGGGTCACTGGGCCCCAGGCGCCCCTCAGTTAGCTTTAGCCTCAGCATCATGAGTACCTGCATCCAAGCGCGTGTCACCACACGCCTGCCTACTTGTTTTTTTTGTTGTTGTTGGTGGCGGTCCTGGGGCTGGAACTCTGAGCCTGGGCGCTGTCCCTGAGCTCTTCAGCTCAAGATGAGCACTCTACCACTTGAGCCACAGCACCACTTCTGGTTTTCTATTGGAGATAATAGTCTCACGGAATTTCCTGCCTGGGCTGGCTTTGAACCATGATCCTCAGATCTCAGCCTCCTGAGTAGCTAGGATTACAGAAGTGAGTCACCGATGCCCGGCTCTACTTGTGTTTTTGTGTTGTGTCCTCAGAGAGGATGGAAGATTCAAGACGTGGAGAGCCATACCTGCTCTTTCCCAGTCTTCCTCAGAACACACCAAGGCACCATGTTTGATGCATGTGTGCAGAATGGCAGACTACGCCAGGAACCCACAGCATGTCAGGCAACGGGCTGTGGGCACATGGGCGCGTGGGACCCAAAGCGCCGCCATTCCCACAATACAGATGCAGGAACACTGCTGGGACACAAACTTCCTCCGCACCTTGAAGTCCTGAAAGGTGCATGTGGCTGCCTCTGCCTTTACACCAGAGTGGTCTCCAAACCAAGCCCCATCCCGAACCCCAGGAACCTGAACTCATAGGCTCAGGAGGCGTGGGCGCCCTGCTTGGCGGGCACAGGGCATCAGAGCTGCACGTTTGAAGGATTGATACCTGCACTTCATATTACTTCACTGGGATCTGCACTTGTGGGAAGACTAGACCCGAGATCCATCTTGCAGACTGAGAATTGCAAGAGGGTGAGAGAGAGTCAGGTGGAGAGCTTGGCAGAGGGCAGGATGGATGGAAAAGCTGACCAATAAGAGAATGGCGGTTGTGTTGGTGATCTTTCTAACTGCCTGTGACATGAATGGCGCAGACAGGCAGGAGTCACGGTAAGGCTCACCAAGAGTTACAGAGCTCACTAGTAAAGCCCACGGCCCAATGTAGCAAGCAGATCTACAAGGAAAGCAGCAGCACCAAGAATAGAACAGCCAGGCACCACAAGAGGACTCCAGAGCCTGGAGGTGACCCAGGAAGCCAGAAGGTGCACTGGCCAGAGAGAGCCAAGGACCAGCAGGGTGGACCCCTGCCCCCCACCCCCCAACTGCCTGCTGGCCCAAATCACACAGCCCTGTGGGCCGAATGACATGAGCAACTTCTCTGCTTTGAATACTCCTAGTGGTAACAAACTCTCTACCTCCTGGTCCATGACTAGCTAGCTGCAACATCGCTTGCTGCTGAGCTGCCAACCATCTGCCTGCAGCTTGCCCTGACCTTTAGAATGATTCTTCTCCCTCCTGCCAGCCCTGAGGATGTTGGGGCTCACCTGTCCCAAGTCTGCCCAGACAAAAGACCCTCTGCTCCCCTGCCCCCTGCCACGAGTCACCATCTCTGGTCTCTTCTCATCCCAGACTCCTCCACTGCCCACCCCTTCCCCCACCCCCCCACCCCCGCCCAAGGAATGGGCTCTAAGCACCACCAGACCACGGTATGTGTAGCTGGGCTGGCATTCAGATCTGTGGTTCAAGGCTCCGCCTGGACCAGGCAGTCTAACCTTGGAAGGTCTTCCCAGAGAAGACCAGCCAGGGGTGTTCTAGAACCTTCTATTTCCCAGAGACAGCAGTTCATAGGATGTGCTCTGGGGCTTTTGAGGCTCCTTGGAGACTACCCACTACTCCTAGATCTAACAACCCCTTCAGCCTGTGGAGCAGGCCGGGCTTCCACAGGCTAGAGGCAAAACCACCACACTTTAACATCTCTACAACCAGGAGTGGGTTTTAACATGATTCTGGGCTGTTGTTTTGGTTGTTTGTACTGGCTCTAGGGCTTGAATTTAGAACCTGGGCGCTGTCCCTTAGCTTTTTCACTCAAGGCTGACACTCTGCCACTTGAGCTCCACCTCCAGTGTTCTGTTGGTTAGAGGTAAGAGTCTCACAGACTTTCCTGCCCTGGCTGGCTTTGAACTGCGATCCTCAGATCTGTCTCTCCAGTAGCTAGGATGACAGGCGTGAGCCACCAGCTCTGGGCTGATGCTGCTTTTCAGTTACACACACTGCTGCTGCCTCCTTGCCCACGCTTCCATTCCCACAACAGTGCAAACCCTGCTGGAGGCCAGCACAAGGAAGGGCCAGATCCACTGGACAGGCTCACCCAGAGCTCTCTGCTCTGCTGGACCCAGGAGACCTGGCTCTGCAGGCTCAGATAAACAGGACCTTGGATAAGGGAGGTTGGGGGACCTCTGCAGTGTGGGTCACATTGCCCTAGGCTGGACATCCAGAGGACTGAGGGCCAGGATGGGAGAGCTCCAGGGGGGTGGGTACATAAGAGGCAGCCTGGCAGTGAAGGGCGTGGCTTGTGTGGGGCGTGGTGTTTCCTGGGTGTGGCCGCGGTTGGTATGGTCTGTATGGGGCGGGGCCTGGCCAGGGACAGGTGGTTTATGTGGGATGTGGCTTCGCCTGGGTGTGGCCTGAGGTGGGCATGGTCTGTGTGGGGTGGGGCCTGGCCAGGGGCAGGGTGGCTTGTGTGGGGCGTGGCCTGCTGTGGGCGTGGTCTGTGTGGGGCAGAGCCTGTCAGGGGCAGGGTGGGCGTGGCAGGGCGTGGTCTGTGTGGGGCGGGGCCTGGCAGGGGCGGGGCCGGGCCGGCTCACACTCACAGGGCAGCGTCTCTGCGCTGTTCTTCTGGATCATTATGCAGAGCTGTAGCACCAGTTGTGGGGCGCTCTCCAGAAAGGTCTCCAGGAGGCGCAGCATGTTGACGTCTGCATATTCGTACATCATAGCCCAGTAGAAGCGTCGCTGGTGTTCCTTCTGCCGCTGGCTCTGAATCCCCAGGTACATGGTGCGGATATACCTGCCGGAGACACAGGGCAGGACACAGGCGTCGGTGAGTGGGAGCTGCGGAAGGACCCCGCCTGCCCCCCCAAAGCCCAAGCCACCAGCAGTCATGGGCACCCCTGCAGCCCTCCAGAGGCCTGGGTGGGGCTTTGCATCCTCCGGGCCCCAAGGCCCTGTGCTGAGCATGGGGGAATCTGGCGCAGGAGGGGGACGGACAATCAAGGCTCTTATCCGGAGAGAGGAAAAGTCCCCCTCCCCTGCCACTCAGGCCCCTCGGGGGAGGTGGAGGGTAGGCAGGTGGGTGTCCTCGGGTTCAGGGTCCCATGAGAGCACTCCGGAGGGTGGGCGCCCCTGCGGCTGCTGGCCCGCCACACCCATGGGGGAGCAGGTAGGTGTAACCCTCAGGTGTGTCACACACAGATCCGCTGGGACGCAGAAAGGCCACCCTGGCTATACAAGCACCCAGAACTGACCGGAGGACAAAATAGGAGTGGACCCCAGGCCTCTGTCCCCCAAAGCCTGTGCATCCTCCTGCTACACCAGAGACCAAAGCCTGCAGGGCAACCGCTGCCCCCAGACCATCTGGAATCGCCTGAGCCCTCCCTGTGACTCGGGGCTCCTGGGAGGGACAATGGCTGTAGAAGGCAGGGGCAGGCAAGAGCAGCGCTGGTCCTGTGAACCCTGGGACTGAGGGCAATTCCAGCCCGCGTCCTCCTCCTGCTCTTCACTGTGAGTGGGGGAGGCCGTTGGCATGCAACAGGGAGCATTCACCCTGGGTGAGCCTTCCACCCGAACTCTCTGGAACTGGGTCAAAGCCCAGGCAAGAGGAAGACCCAATATACCAAAACCCATCACAGCCTCTGAGGTTCGGTTAGGCAGGGTCTACTCAAAACACAACAGTAGGCAAGTGAGGCTTTGCTGGCCTGCTTAAGATCAAGAATCAGAACAGTAAACCGGGTGACAATGCCAACAGGAGAGAGCTAGCAATCCTCCACCCCCCGGGGAAAGAATGTTCTACACCATTCCTGGCCTTCCAGAGTGCCCAGGGAAGCACCAAGATGGAGCATATCGTCGAGGCTCTGTCAAGGCCCAGCTGCCCTAGAGCACCTCCAAGTGCCACTTGTGGCTGCTGAACAGCCCTCTTGTCCTGCCCCCCCCCCCCACTGCCTCCTCCATCCTCATGGGGGCCTCCTAATTGGTCCACACTGCTCACTCCTGCCCAGAACCCTTCTTCGCACAGCAGCGGGACTCTTTGAAGATCCTATGTGTAACCACGCTGCTCCCCCCCACGCCCCCCTCCCCCATTCCATGCCCCGTAACTTCCCATAAGCTTAGAATAACCAAGAGCCCTTCCACTCAGAGCTGCAGCCCTCTCACCTCCCTCCCTACCCCCCACGTCTTTCCTACCCCTTGCTGGATCACGTGAGCTGTAGAGCGTGGCCCTGGATAGTGGCTTCCTACCACATTTGAGTGCCTAGGGCAATGTCTGACCCACCCACCCACTGGGGGTCGAATGGATCAGATAGGGGGGAGGGGGGGCTCTCCCCTGGGGCTGAGGAGCCCAGACAGGATGGCACTGTCACAGTATGTTGAAGGCAGTATCTAAATAGGTTGACATCAGATTTGTGAACTGCAGGACAAGAGTCTGTGGCAGGGGCTTTGCGCTCCTCCCCCAGGAGGGGGGGAGGAGAGGAGGCCTTGCCTGAGCACCTCATGAGTGGACCCGCATGCTTTAGAAACCACAAGCTGAAAGCATGTGTTTGTAGCAGAACATAAGATCACACAGTGATGCTCCTGCCCCAGCCCCAATTGCAAATGGTGGCCCTCACTGGCTTGCTAGTCATGCGCTGAGTCCCTCTATGGATGACAGATCCGGGACTCTCTCAAGGTACCCTGACAGGTGCCCACTAGGCTATGGGTGCCAACAGCAAGCCCCCACTTGACATCCAGAGAATAATGTCATGGCTTTCTCTCAAGCTTCCTGAGAGGAGGCTGAGATCTGAGGATCGTGGTTCAAAGCCAGCCTGGGCAGGAAAGTCTGTGAGACTCTTATCTCCAATAAACCACTCAGAAAACCAGAAGTGGTGCTGTGGCTCAAGTGGTAGAACGCTCACCTTGAGCTGAAGAGCTGAGGGACAGCGCCCAGGCCCAGAGTTCAAGACCCATGACCAAGACCACACACACACACACACACACACACACACACACACACACACACGCACACAGAGTTTCCTGGGAGTCTTGGGGAGATCTGGGGTGAGTGCTTTGAGGGGATCCACCAGGCACAGGGGCAGACACCTCACTTCTCCGCCAGTCTCCTGGGTGAACAGGGAACCAGCCTCCTGTGAGTGGAGTGAGGGCCCTGCAGTGGCTCCTGCAGCTGTGCCAGCTCATGGGTTCCCAGCATGCCCTGTGAGGCAGACCTGCTTATCTCCCTGCAACACAGAGAGGCTGGGGAGTGCAGTAAGGCTGAGCACCGAACTCCAGTTCTGTTACAGAGTCTGTCATTTGTGGGCTGCGATGCTTCACACAACCCGCTGCCCTCTGGGAGTCTGTGCTTTCAGGAAAGCAGAAGAGAGGCTCGGGAAAGGATGGAACACAGTTGTACCCAATCTGTAGAATTTGGGGGTTGGGTAACTAAGGATGAGGGAGAGAGACACAGAGAAAGACAGAAAATAGACAAGGAAACAGAGAGAGAAGAGAGAGGAGAGAGGAGAGAGGGGAGAGGAGAGGAGAGGAGGAGGGAGGAGAAAGGAGAGGGCAGGAGGAGGAACCTCATCTACACTAACTTGGGGGGCTGGGAAAGCAGATGGGGGCAGGGAAGGCAGACTGGCCAGCTTGGGCAGGCAGAGTGTCAGGAGACGCAGACGCACTGGCTGGTGCATGGAGCCACAGCAGGTGCATGGAGGCCACTCAGCAGCATGTGGAAAAGCTGCATGTCAGGCAGAGCCATGAGCCGAGTCTCACGGATCCGAAGGTGGCTGTTGGCCCCAACCCCGTTCTACCCACATGCCGTGGGCCCCAGACTCTCACCAGGGCCGAGGCTGCAGGTCTACACTCCCTAGGGGGTACACTGAGACCCCAGACTGCTTTTCCCACCTGACAAGTAACCCAGCTGGTGAAGGAGTGGCCATGTGCAGAGTGAGCGTACCCAGCCTGGTCCCAGCTTTCCTCAGGTCTGCCTTTCCTCCTCTGCCTTGGCTCCCGGCCCCTCCACCCAGGCCTCACGGGGGCAACGGACCCAGACCTGGTTAATTCACTAATGCCCGCCAGGAGAAGCCAGTCGCGCCATGTCTGTGAAGCTGGTGTGACAAGACACTTGAGGAAAGGCAAAGCCAGAGTGCATCTTGGGCGGAGTAGCACACAGAGGTAGGGGCCCAGAGCACCAGGAGTCGGGTTGGATGTTGTTCCTCCTGGACACCAGGGCGTGCAGCCTCTGCCGTGCAGCGAGACTCCCTGTCCTGATGCCCACAGCAAATGCCCACACCTGTCCTGCTCTCTCCTCCCCCCTGGGCTTGGGCCCAGCTGGTAGGGGAGAGGTGCAGTGTAATGGGGTCTGCACTGCCCCAGGCCACCCATACCTGCAGGAGAGGACTCCAAGGCCAGACCTGGCCTCACTTCTGTCTCTGTCCCAATCAGGAAGACAGAGGCAGAGTGGAGGCTAGAACCAGACTCTGGGACTGGCTGATTCTGCTGGGGGGGGGTGGGGTGTAAATGTGCAAACCTCCCATTGTGTGGGGCCCGGGGAGGAGGGAGAGGTGGCAGCACCATGATGCTGTCCCTGCCTGGCCTCAGAGGCTTCTGGGAAACAGGAATAGCGGGGCATGCTGCACCCCTCTTCTGCGTTTGTCCTCTCTTGGCCCAGCGCCCCAGGTCCATGAGCGGACCTAACTACAGGAACTAGTCTGAAGGCAAGCTGATACCAGCCGGCAGCCAGCCCCGCCTCCGCTCGCTGAAACTCAAGGGCTATGCATGCAGGCTCTGCCCGTGGCCACACGAGGGCACTAGACCCTAAGGAAGCTGCACACCGGTGATCTCATACCTTAGACCTGCGCCCTCCTTTGCGGCAGTGCCCGGTGCAGAGCGTGAGCCGAGCCTGGTGTGGTGCTCCCTGAGAACACCATGTCCTGCAACGCACCTTGAGCAAGGACGCAGGGACCTGGCCACAGCCTGCACACTGTGGGGCAGGGCCCCTCCCCAGGCTGGACCCTGGCTGCACTGCAGGTCAGCATCCTGTAGAGCGGCTTCACAGAGCACCAGGTGGGCCCGCATCTGGGGGCCTGTGTGGTGCTTGGGGGCACTGTGTGCCCGGTGGGCCTTCACAAGTCAGTGCTGCTTCTTCCTCAGAACTCCTCTGAGGGAGATGCAACGTAAGCCTCCTTCCCCAGATGGCACACTGAGGCACAGTTCCTCAGTTTACCTAGCTACATAAGTGGCCAAGCAGGCTTCATACCAAGCAGACAGGCCTGCTGTCTGCACAACCTTTTGGGAAGACCGTTTGTGCCTTCTGAGCGTAGCCCAGTCTGCAGGCCTTTGGTGGAAAACGCCCTTACACCCTTGGTGTACGCCCCACGGCCTGTCAGTCAGCCACAAGCTCTCACCTTGGAGACTCTGTCTGACTTTTCTGGGCCTTGTCTAGTCATACTTACATCCTAGCTTCTCAGGAGGCTGAGATGTGAAGATCAGGGTTCAAAGACAGACCAGGCAGAAAAGTCCGAGAGACTCTTAACTCCAATCAGTCAGCAAAATCCTGGGCTGGTAGTTCAAGTGGTAGAGTACCAAATGTGAGCAAAAAGTCCAGTGATGGGGCAAGGCCCTGAGTTCAAGTCCTGGTACCAGCGTGCATGTGTGTGTGTGCGCGCGCGTGCACACACATACACACAGATGCATACCATCTTGTCCCTCCTTGGTGAGATGATTTTTTAGTAAATATAGGTACATATCATAGCACTAACATAAAAAAAAATCAACCTATAAAATCAACAGCATTTCTACAAACTATTAAGGAATAACTGA